CAGCCAGGAGCATGTAGAGCTCCCCCATCTTGGGCTGGAAGTTGATGGCCGCGCTGAGGAAGTGGAAGGCCGATGCGTACTGCTGCATGGCCAGGTGGACAAGGCCCAGGTTGTGCAGGATCTTCCAGTCGAAGGGAGCCAGGTAGTTGGCTCGCTTCAGGCAGCTGATAGCCTGTGGGGAGAGGGGCCTCAGGGAGGAGCAGGGTGAGCTCTGCAGACCCCATAGCTCCTGCATGGGGATGGACAGGACAAGCAGGGCCAGGGCACACTCACTGCCACGTATTTCTTCTTGCCGAAGAAACACATTCCAATGTTATTCCAGAGAGGGGCACTTTCTGGGACGTTGCAGGCTACAGCTCTGTACTTGGTGAGGGCAACATCAAAGTCCCCATGGGTCTGCATCATGCTGCCTGCTGCCAGGATGGCCTGAGAAAGCAAGCCGAGTCTGTCACCAGCCAGACCCAGGGCAGTAGCAGACAGGCCTGGTGGTACAGCTGCGTGAGCGGTGTCCCGAGACCCACCTCATGACTCCCTCTGACACGGTAATGGGGGTCACTGGCCTTACCCAGCTTGTTTTTCCCCTGCTGATACGGTGGCCAGAAAAGCCAGTACTGCAGGAAAGCTGCCCTGTGTACACAGCAAGCGGCCCAGTGCTCAGAAGAGCCGGCACCTGCTGCTCCACACCCGTCTTGCTGCCCCTGGAGGGGAGCTGGCCCAGCCTCTCTGCTCTCTGGGGCTATCTATGTAAGCCTCCTGCCGCCCTAGGTTGGGACTGGCGTGGTGCCAAGAAGCCCTGCTGGCTATGTCTCCTTGGAGCCATTCATACACCCTAGGCTCTGCCTTCTCCCTGGTCACATCTAACTGCTGTTGTCTGCAGTCACTGCAGCTCTAAGTCAGTGGAACACTTGCCTGGCAAGAGCCAGGTGGGCCCCATGCTGCAAATGCCAGGGATAATAACCCCCTCCTCAGGTCTCCCCATGAGGAAGCTCCCCCTTGCTTTCAGGATCTGGTCTTCCCTCAAGTTCCAGCCCGCTCTACCTTGTAGTTGGTGGGGTCGTATGACAGCGCATTTCCAAGATGTTCGAATGCCTTTTGGTAAAAGCCAAGCTTGGAGAAAAGCAGAGAATTTACGTGAGGGAGGAGATAGGCAGCCATATGTTGAACAGAAACACCTCATTTAAAGAAAACAGCCATCCCTGTATTTGTGGAGGGGTTTTGTTGTTGTCTCCTGGTAAAGGCCAAGCAGCTATTTTTCAAAAACTATTTCTGCCACTTTTATGCTGTTCCACATTAACACCCGCAACTAGACATAGCTGGCCAGTGTCATGTCCCGTGGGGCCAGCTGCCCAAGTCGGGACCCAGGGTTAAGCTCCCAGTGCCTGTTAAGGAGGGGAACGACAGACATCAAGGCTCCCACCTTGCAGACCTAGAGGAAAAACAGTGGAAGAGGGGCTGGGGAGATAGCTCAGTTGAATAAGTGCTTGCCTGGCAAGTGCAAGGTCCTGAGTTCAATCCCCAGTTCCACAAAAAAAAAAAAAAAAAAAGAAAAAGAAAAACAGCGAAGGAGGGAAGCTGGGCAGGCAGCCCCAGCTCCAGGACCCAGGCTGAAGATGAGACGTGACAGAGCTAAAAGAACTATCTGCTCTAGGGAATGCAGAAAGCGGCATGAGTTTTTTACTGTGGCCAAGGGTGCTTTGCTGTTATGGCTTCCATAAGACCCTAGCTGGAGGGAGCAGGACGGAAACAGCTCAGCGCAAGGCCCAGTGTGTGCTCACTTAAGAGTGGTTTCACCCCCAAGACCGGAAGTAGTTTCTCACACGCTTTCTGGCTGTGTACAAATCCTACTTGCACAGAGGCTATCACAGAGTTCTTCCGATGCAAGTGAAGTAAATGAACTCCTTTAGCAAAGTCTCAAATACAGAGAGTAAGATTCATGTACTCGGTGACCCCTAGTAAAATACATTAAGTATCGTGCACAGGGACTCCACAAGCATTTCCAGCAGCCATGGGTGAAGAAACGGTCTCCCTACCTGTAAGTAGAGCAGCCCCAGTGTTGTGTGGAGCTCCGTGTTTTCCGGCGAGAACCTGTAACAGAGACGATGGTGATGCACACAGACACACACGCTGTGAGGGTTTGTGGCTAGATGTCCCCCCAAGCCCTACAGGGTCAGAGAACTTTTCTGAAGTGGCTGATTCTACACTGTGTGATGCTGGGATTAAGGGTGTGTGATTAGTAAATCGCTCCAAGGCTTGGTTTGGCATCGCTTTGGCTGGGATTAAGGGTGTGAGTGCTACACCCACCTCCGTGCACCCACCTTCATGCAGGATCTTGGACACAACATAAGGGACAGGAAGTCTTTTCCCTGTTGCTTTTGCTGTCTTCTGCCACAATGAATAGTTACCCCTCTGCACACCACCCTGCCTTGGAGTTAGCCAACTACGGGCTGAAACCTCTACAGATTGTGAGCTAATAAACCTGCCCCCTGTTAACTTTAGGTGTTGGGTGTTTTGTCTCAGCAATGAGAGAAAACTGAAACCTATGCACAACCAGCTGCCCTCCAGCTCTGCTGAGGCACTGCCGCACCTCCTTCACCTGAAGAAATGTGTGCAAAAGGTTTTCTTCAGCCCAGAGCGATGGAGCGCACATCTAAAGCCAGCCCTTGGGGGCTGGGGAGATGGCTCAGTAGAATAAACCCTTGCCTGGAAGTGCAAGGGCCTAAATTCAATCCCCGGATCTGCCAAAAAAATAAAAAATTAAAAAAATAGGGCCAGGGAGATGGCTCAGTGGAATAAGCGCTTCGCCAGCAAGTGCAAGGGACTGTTCCGCCAAATAAATAAATAAAAATAAAAAAATAAAGGCAGCCCTCAGGGAGGTCAAGGCAGGGGAACCACAAGCCCAAGTCCAGGCCTAACCCAGGCAATATAGGGAGACTCTCTAGAAAAATTTTTTTTATTATTTATTTTAATGGCCTTGCATGTAGGTCAATGCAAAGGCCCTGAGTTCAATCCTCAGTACTATAAATTTTAAAAAATTTTAAACCTGGCTATAGCAAGGTTTGCACAGCAAATTAAAAGCAGAAATCCAAATTCCTTTCTTAGGGCCAGAGACCTAAGTGCCAGCCCTGTGGAATGTGCGCCGAAACACTTGACCATGCTGAGGAGGAGCAGGTGAGCGGGAGCGCATGGCGCACACGAGTCTCCCCGTGGGACCCTTCTCTGGGGCTGCTGTGCTCAGCACCACAGATCATCGTCCTGGTAAAGACTGCAAGGCCCCTGCTGCTGCACTTTCCAAGTTAAACAAGAGTCAGGCTCACCTGCCACGCTCAAGACAAGGACAGACACCAGCCACAGGGCCAAAGTGGCCTCAGGGGAAGACACCGGCTTCTAAAACATCACATGCCCCTTCTATCCCTATCATATGTCTTGGCCAAAAGCCACAGCAGCGCTGGGGGAGGCCCCGGGGTCATCAGACAACACCTGCTGTGCAGTGCACAGCATGACCTCCTGCCCCTAAGAGTGATGCAGGGCGCTGCTCACCCACAGCAAACATGAGCCAGAGCCAGGGCTGCCTGAGCTGCCCAAGCAAAGCCTTTGCCACGTGCCTAGGACGTGCCTCTCACCTCACGCCATCATAAACGTGCGTCCACCACTTCCATTCCCAGATGGCAGGAGGCAGCTCCTGGACGCTGGCAGCATTTGTACCCACTGGACAGGGCCACACCCTCCACACCACCTGTGCTCCTGGAGCAGCTGCTGGAAATGGCCACCTTGCGACCTGTGCACTTGCCTCAAAGCCACACCTTCCAGAAGGCAGGCACTGAGAATCCAAGCTAGCATAGAAGTCCCCAACCACAGACATGGCCCCTCCCTGCTTGCCCCGGGGAAACTCATGACAGCAAGAGTTTATTGTATGTTTTATTGTTAGAGACCAGGTCTCACTATGCAGCCCAGGCTGGCTTCCAACACACAGGGGCCCTCCTGCTTCAGCCTCAGTGCTGGGATCACAGGCCTGCACCACCACGCCAGCCAGTAAGCACCTTTGGTAGTTTACCAAACCAAAGCAGTTTTCTATTTTTTAAACTTTTTATGTATTTTGTACAGGGTCTGCAGGATCTCACTGTGTAGATGGGACTCATAGTGATTCTCCTGTTTTCAGCCTCCCAATCGCTGGGATTACAGGCGCGTGCCACCACGCCCACTCTCAGCCATCTCAGCGTACCCTGGGGGCAGGGCCAGCACAGCAGGGCAGGCTGGCTCTGCCTAAGCAGGCGCTTTAGTCTGAGGAGTTATCTGTTTGCCTTTTCTATTTTTTTTTTTTAAGATGCAAAGTGTGATTAATATAATCAGAAAATGTACTGCCATGGTTAAAACAAAAGAACAGGTAATGAATTAATAGAAATACAAGCTTAGTTCAGAATCTAATTTTCAGGAATAACAGACCCTAAACTGTGGACATCTTATAAAGAAACCTAATAAATGAGACTGAGAACACCGTGTTCCAGGTGCCCTACGTAGAAGAAATAAGACCAGACTCTAGAGTGAAGACAGGATCTCATATGTCCTCAGGGAGGAAACGTGGACCTCCCCTGCAAGAAAGCCAGTCTGTTCCACTGTCAGCAGGGCTCTGGATTACTCTAGCAATGTTTTCAAAAAATATTATGCTGGTGTGGTGATGCATGTCTATAATCCCAGCACAGTGGGAGGCTGAGGCAGGAGGACTGCCTGGTTCCCCCTGAGGATGAGCAAATTAGTGACAAAGTAAGACTATTCCAAATAAAATCTTTTGCTAGAGCGGGCTGGGGATATGGCTCAACGTGAACGTCCTAGGTTCAATTTCCAGTACTAAAAATAAAAAAATAAGAGACAAGAAGACACTAGGGCAGGAGGCACATGCTGGTGGGAGTGCACAAGGCCCCGGGTTCGCACCCCAGCTCCACACCCAAGACACTGGTCTCAGGCTGAAGGCAGGCCAGCTGCGCGTTCTGTCCCCAGTACGATCTCTGGAATTCCGAAATCTGTCATCAAGCGTGAAACCAACAGGGCAGATTGCCAGCTGCCCGAAATCTCGCCCAGTCCACGTCTGCCCTCCTCTCTTGCTGCTGTGTGCCGCCGCTAATTCTGAAGCCTGGAATGGAGCAGGTGCTGTGCGTGTCATGTACAACTCACTTGCGACGCGTATTCCCCCTTAGGTTAGGGTGCCGTCAGCCTCAGCATTACCTGTAGCCCGGATCTGGCAAGACTGCAACCAAAATACATGCAGCGGGGCTTTATGTGGGGGAAAGAAGCGCCCACGGCCACTCACTGGTCCTGTCACCTTAGCCTTCCCTCGGGAGCGCACGGAGCTATTCCGCGTGGTTTCTCATTGCTCTAAACAAGGACACACACTCACTCCACAGCTTTCTTGTAGACCTCAACCGCTTTGTCCATGCAGCCCTCTAGCAGGTGGATCTTCCCCAGCATGACGTAGGTCACATCCTGCCTGTTCAGCTGGAGCGCATGGAGCAGCTGATCCTGGGCCTGCGAGCGTGAAGAGGAAAGGGAGTGAGTCGCCGCTGAGGCCGGGGCTGTGCAGAGCGCGCTGTCCGCCCGCCCACCCGACCCGAGACAGCCCGCCGC